CGCGCGCGCGCGCGCGCGCGCGCGCGTGTGTGTGTGTGTGTGTGTGTGTGTGTGTGTGCTAGCGTGCGTGCGTGCGTGCGTGCGACATACCTGTGCATTTTCTCGGGCATCGAGATGCCCGCATTTACTTTGCAAATTGAATCGGATTGAATCTAGATTGAGGCTAGTGACATATAAAAAAATAAGTAGTAAAACTTAAATAATGAGCAGAAAAAACTTGGAAAACTTAGCTTTGCCGTATAAATAGTAAGCAAATGATTGACCAATCAAGATTTTTGAATGATATGTTATTTTTGATAATTCTCAATTTTGATCAGCTGATTTGTTAATTGCTAAAGTATATCACCGTATATTTTTCTATATTCAACAATCTGTGCACGAAATGAAATCTCAATATCAGAAATCGGAATAAAATTGAAAATTTATATTGAATATATTATATTTAACATTTTTTATTTGGTAACTAATTAGCAAAGAAATTTTAACATGAAGAGATAAAAGAAGATAAATAATCGTGTGTTATATGAGAGACTGTGAAGTTTTCCTTTTCATACTTTATTTTTTTCTCTCGATAAGAAGGGTACATTAATATTTACAGTACATGCAGAAAGTGGAGTTGCTTGCAAGGACCAACATGGACACTCTTATGAAAGTGGCTATCATTATATCCCTGGACCTGAACCGTGTACCTTCTGCGTTTGTGATAATGGCAATCCAAAGTGGTGTAAAGCGTTTATCTGCAAGTTTCTCGAAGTACGTAATAACATTACAATAAATCTTATTGCATTCCTATTATTACAATAAGCATTTAGATTTGCAATCAATGGAATTGGCAAAGCTGTGAATGGTAGTTTTATATCACATTTATTTTTTTATAATAGGAGAATTGCAAGTCTTTTCGACGTGGTAATACCTGTTGCGAGTTCATTTGCTTGGACGAAACCGCACTGTCACCGATATCTAATGATAAGATCGACGAGACGGGGACTAACGTAATAGATGGCAACGCGAATTATGACATAGGTCTACGATCAGCCGCCAGTTTTGTGACAGCGATATTTTCATTGAGTTTGTTATTTTTTCTGATACACCGTCTACGACAACGTAAAATACAAGGTAATGCAATATTTTTGTTTGGATTCTTCTATCTTGCAAAAATTTCAGATTTCTCAAGAAATAACGAAATGTATATTGTTATTATGTAATTAGAATATAAATAATTATCAGCTAAAGTAATATTTTTCACACAATAATTTTGTTATAGAATTTTAAGATGTTTATTAATATCAGGAATATATCAAATGTGAATAAAATCCGATTAGCTAGTTATCCGCAGCAATAAATGCTGTATTATTTAATATTCTCAGGATCTCTACTTTCTTCATAGAAATGGATATGATAAACATATATGTTGCATGCCAGTTTGTGTGGCAGGTCGAGACAACAGACAACTTGGAGAGGACCAAAGAAACTTAGGTAACATAGGATATTTGGAAGGAGCCCCTCACGGAGTTCCTATGGACGACATACCTTGCGGGACAGGTTACTCATTATGGAAACCACCTGGCAGCAATTACTTTCCACGCGGCGAGGCACCTCCGCCCTATGAAGAAGCGATCGCGGCCGCGAGGGCGGAACAAGCGTTGCTGTCAATGAATCCGCACACGCTGCTCTCGATGAATTTTTCCGACAATTACATGCCGAATGCGAACAATCATGCGAGCGTAGCGATTGTTGCGGATACACAGAACCACTTGCCCACGAACACGCTGGTGTCGTCCAATGATAATAACATACACACGCCCTTGACATCTTCGTCAAGCAGACCGTTGTCTAGTCCCGGCGCGTATGCTGGTTATCGACCAATAAGCCAGAGCAGCGCGACGTCCACCGTCGGTCTGAACACGAGCACGTCGACTACGAGTTTCACAATGGGAACGAATACATACGAGAATCTACCGGTCGCATCAGTCGCTATGACGAGTTTTAACGATAGTCAACATCCTGGAGTCAACACACTGTCTGGTACCAGCACGCAACCGCTGCTACCGATATCGCATTCCACTATACCTAAGAGCTATCGTCAGCATACGATCTTTTCGCGTCAGAGCGGCGGCAGCGGCAATGCTGGTGGTAGTGCAGCTAGTAGTAGTAGTAATGGTGGCACTATCGGTGGTGCGTTCACGATATCGGCGACTCTGTCGAATTCAGATGTATCTTCCCATCGCACGATTCCGCGAACGTTGACCTGCGTTGCCAGTAGAGCGAAGGACGTCTTAACCGATTGCTCGGCGAGGGACTACCTCCGTTTATCACCGAGCAGTATCGCGGCGTCCCAAAACCTGTCGCATCCTGCACAGCTATCCACGACTGCGGTCGCAGCTTCAAGCAATTATAAAAGTACCAAAGATTCAGACACGTTTTATACGGACACTCCTGTACCATCAGCGTCCGGTCTAGCGCAATCCGAAGCGTATGCGGTAGATACGGCAGACATATCCGAGAGAACTCATGATTATACGGTATGGAAGCATGCAATTTGTTGTAATATAAATCATAAATTGAGACATTCATTAATTATGATTTTTTTGTCTACTGCAGCCTTCGCTAAGCGTAGCTAACGAGATTAACGCGAGCGGCAGCTTCGAATCGGTGACGTGTACCTGCAGCATGCAAGCGTTACCAACCTTACATGACGACACGGACGATTATCGGAGCGAGTGCGAGAATTGCAAGAGCGCGACAGGTTCTCGTTATTACCTGGATAACGAGGATGAGATAGTTACATCTCTCCACGAAACCATGACATTGCATAGAAGGCCGGACGAAGCAGCATCAAGTGCCACACCACAGTATTATAGAACTTCACTTACACTGCCGACAAGTACACGTCAGCGTACAAGGTAGGCATCATTGTTCATTTGTATAATATTTTCAGTAATGAAATTGTGAAAAAAATTTTTTTTTACATTTGTTATTTTAAGCGTAGAAATATTTTGGTTGATGTTCACATAAAGAATTGATTGCACAAAGAAAATAATTTTTCTCTGGACGAAAATTTCAAAGTGTCTTTGTATATTTAGGATTACTGGAGCTCGTGAAAATTGGTTCAACACCATGCCAGAAAGTTCTAGCGGATCTTCAGATGAAAATTAAGTATTATGAAAAAAAAAATAGAGGAAAATATTCAAGTGCGCAAGTAAAGTTATTATACACGAACACACAAATACACACACACACACACACACACACACACACACACACACACACACATATAGTATCTATACGTTATATAACTACTAAACAAAAGAATTTTACCTATACAGAGTGTCCCAGAATTACTCTTACGTACTCTTTTCCTTTCGAAGGCTCATATTACATAACGCGTTGAACATTAAGAATCGTGAATTGGAAATTAGAAAATTAAAAAAAGAGGGCTAATGAGAGTTGAAGCGTACTTCAACTCTCATTAGTCCTTTATTCCTCTTTTTTAATCTTTGACAATTTCGAGAGCATCATTTTTATATATTAATTTGGAAATTAGAAATTTAATCAAATACAACAAAATGGAGTAAGCTTATGGGCAAAGTTAGTTTCATCAAATTAGATTTGTCTAATCTTCAGTTTGCAATCTTGAATCTCCAATATACTCCAATATACTAATATAAACTTAGGATTCTGCAATGTCAATGTATCAATAATTTTTTGTATTACGTTAAGATGAACTTGATGAAAATAGTCTCATTATATATAATATTTAAGAAGAGTTCTTTAGATTATTGCAAATCTACTATTCATTTGGTATGGTGATTGTCTTCCAAAATTCTCAGCTTCTCCAATACCTTCCATATAACATTTGAGAGAAACTGCCAGTTTTTGGGACATCCTCTATAGCGTTTATCATAATTATTATCATAATCGTCATCATTGTTGTCATCATTAGATAGCGGAGAAGCGTGAAGTTTTACTACGAAAAAACATGCGAAAGGATGTATCAACTATACAAAGTAGCAAAAAATATCGAAATTTAACGAAAGTATATTTTTTATATTTATATTGTTTGGAATAGCGAATAAATATATTTGAATAAAATAATTTGGACAAAGAATTTTAAATATAAAAATAATTGGTTTTTAATATTGTAAACCAATATTGTAATATTGAGTAAACCAAAATAATTAATAGTTTGTAAGAAAATTTTGAGTTATTATTATCAGATAAGATATCAGATAAGTTAAACGTAAATGAAATATAAAAATAATAATATATATTAAATTAATAATTTTGAAACAAAATATATCTTCTAAATATGCTTGGTAGAAGAGTTTAATTTTTATGCCTTTGTCAACATTTTGATACATATGATACATTCTTAAAGTGTGTAAATAAAAAATTTTGTAGTAAAATATCACGAACTTTTGCATACATTGTCAACTGTTATTGCCATCGTTATCATTAACATCGCGATGTTACCATGACAGTATCTTTCCAAATTCTTTTACCTGCCAAACAAGAGATATTCCGTTTTATCCAAAAGATTCTACAGATTTTAACAATAGATCTTTATTGTAAAAAGTAGAATAAATTCATATCTGTATATGTATATGATATTAGGGTAGTCTTAAAAATGTAACAAATCATTGGACTCTTTTTTTTTTTTTTGAGATGTTTGAAAAGGAAATGCGCGCGAAACTTTTGTTAATATATAAATTATAGTAATATATTTGTTGATATATAAATATATATATATATATATATATACATACATACATACATACATACATATATAAGTTGCCTGTGGCACCAAGTATCAAGAGCCCGCAGCAGCCATGGGCGAATTTTTATGAGTGTAAATTGATCCGAACCTCCCGGGGATAATTGGAGAACGTTATCATTATGACTGTTTTTGATTACGCGATATATAAATATTCCAATGTTTAGTTCATTTAAATGTATCACAATTTTATAATTTATTGATTTTGTAGATATGTGCACTTTTGTATATACAGGGTGTCTAGTAATTGTCATCACTTCTCATGAATAAATAGGGTTAAACTGAATTGAAAAATCATTTTTTTGTGATTTTTGCAATAATTAATGAGAAAATAATAAAAACTCATGAATAACTGTGCATCCGCATATATTTTTTTAATTGATATGTGATACAGCAATCAAA